AAAAAATAGAAATGAACGAATTATTACATTGCGCCTATTGTTTAATTGTGAAAAAAGGATTACGTTTATGTAAAGTTCGTATGTAGAGCATTACGCCTCTTCGAGTTATAGAAGATAAAGAAGATATTTTTCGAATAAATATTGATTTCAATACATTCTATCACATAAAAATTGTTTTCACAATTTTACGTTTATTATGTTTGCTTTCATAAAGAATTCAACATTGCTTATCATTAAAGATAAATGCCCTTCAAGAGAATAACATTCCTATTTATCATCCTTAAGTACAAAGTGCAAATCTAAAGATTTTTATTCTTTTTACGTAGTTATGATGACATTAATTGTTATCGATATAATCTAAAAATATGTCAAAGAAAATAATTGCTGACAAAAGAACAATAAAATCTGTTATCATCAAGCAATCATTTTTTTTGAAATTGAATATATACGAAGTGAATGGCAACATACTTCATTAAAATGAATTACAATTAATCTAGAATTCCTAAATAATACGTTTCATCAAATGAAAAGCACAGATAATCATTTTATAAATGTCATGTCACGATACAAAGGAAGACTTTTTCTAACCTGCTGTTTTTAGAAACTCTCACGAATATGTTTACCACATAATTAGATCAATTTCTTTTATGTATGCATGCTCTAATATCGCATCACTATATGAGACATGAATTCAATTGGATCAGATTTTCTAAGTTCTGACTAGTCGAAAAGAACTGAGAAGAATCTCTTAATGGAATATTTATCAGTTTTCAATGAAATCTAACTATCGGATCCCAATAATTCAAGTTCAAACCGCATTTGTCTTATCGCAAAGTTGACAGTCTGTTTTTAATCTCTTTATAATCCCTCTTTATATAAAAGGATTTATCATCGAATAAATATTATTAGAACAATATTATCGGTTTAAAGTAGGTATTTTATGAGAAATGATCGTAATATTCACATTTACATCGACTTCCATCGAAAAATTTCAATTCAAAATAAAAGCTCTTTTTTCTTTACGATATGATCTATTCTCTAATTAAAACGAATTTATTCTATTGGAAATTATGAAAAAAATACGTTCTAATATGTGCAGAATCTATGATTTTGCATAATATTTTATTTTGAGTATTATAGAAAAAGAAAGAATGTTATCTAAATTCTTGAAGTAATAGAAAACATCAAAATTTGATTAAAACGGGCAAAAATTTCCCCATGAGGTACCTCTTAGGACATTTGAATCACAATAATACAGCTTATGTACGTGACTATTAATGATACGAAATAACAGAAAGTTACCATATCTCTATTTGTTTATTCCGTGAGGGAAAATAACTTTACAATCTAGCAATAAGTAAAATGAAAAAAAAATTTAATTAAATATGAAAACTAGAAAAACAGATCAGTTTCACCGAAACCTATTACTCAGATGTTATTGTTCTAAATGCCATTTGTTTTATTATAAAAACAAGTCTATTTAAAATGTCAAGGCATATATATACATCCTTATCAAGCTAGTCAAGTTCAATTCAAGTATAAAAATTAATTTAAATTTAAATTTTGATGATAAACAAAGTCGACAGTTAAAAAAATGTTGTGCATCTAAATCATAAAATTTAAATATTAATAATGTAAGACAAAGTTAATATTGAGTCGATGAGTACATACAACTCTTCAACCTTTTTTATTCTATCTAATATAACGAACAATTTATTTGATAGAATTGTTTTATACAAAAGAAAATTATCATGATTATAAATTTTAATAAAAACTAAAAAGAAATATATATTTACATATATTTCTTAATTAAAATTTTTTGGTTTTAATCTTCTTTGACTAATAAAACGACGTGATGGAAAAAAATATTGTTCATGATCAATAATTATTTTTTGATTATTATTATTAGCAATAAATACATAATGATTATTTCCTTTACGTTTTTGTGAAAAATAATTTGATCGACATGTTAATATAGATACAAAAGCACGACGAAATCGAACATTAAATGCCGTGTAAATAAGCTAAAATAAAAATATATTTTATCGTATACTTTCTTTTTTTGTTTAATCTTCTTACTGGATTTAAATTTGATGATATAAGACCAAACCAACTAGTTAAATTTAATAATGATGGCTGTACACCACATGTTGGACAAGCAGCTGATAATATATTTAATATTGAAAATGGAAGCCAAGCAACAAGAAAAACAAAAAAAACAATTCCAAGTACTTTCATTGCACGACGTTCACTTGATGTTTCTGTTCCACCTTTAAATGCATGTACTGCTTTTTGTACAAATGTATTATTAAGAAATGAACGTTGTTGTGTATTCGATGGTGGTATTGATGTTGTTGGCGACACACTAAAGAAGAAAAATAGATTTATTACCATAATGATTTCTTTTTTCCGTTTGTTGATTTGTCATTAGATTTTTATTTGAAAAGAATTAGAATACTAATATATTCTCATGGGATATCTTTCAATGATTTTGTATTGAATTATCATCAAATCGAAAACATTAAGAAAGTTTGTTTTTTTCTGTATAAATTAAATTTTGAACATATGTTTATAGTGACTAAGATCGCTATTATGTTAGCGTCTGATTGTTTTCTATCTTAGATATCTTTTGGATTAATAGAGCGTATAAACGATTTTAAATTTGTCTTTTTTTTCTTATAATTGAATGTGAGAGAACTTACGGCTTTTGAAGATAATTTTGTTTATCATTTCTATCAGTTGGGTGTGGTGGACTAAGTGATGTTGGTGTTGAAGGTGAAATATCTTTTGATGGAGTATTTTTAGAAGTTTGCGAACTTGGATTTGAATTTCGTTTTGTACTTGACATATGTCTTCTTAAACCATCAGATTTTCGTGGTTTTATCATTAAATTATCATCAGGATCGGAATAACATTTAGCTCCTTCAACGTGTAAACGGTGAACAGTTAACGAATATGTAACAAGCATAAGTATACATGGTATACAAAAACAAATAATTGAACCATAAATAATAAATGAACGATTATTTAGTACACAATGTTGACGATTATTATCGACAACGATAATATTAGATTTATCAGTAAAACCCAGAATAAGTATTATACATGATATAGCAATAGAAAATGTCCATATACCAAGTATTGTTAAGAAAGTTTTACGTTTACTTCGTTCTCGACTACGAAACGGACGAGATATATGAAGAAAACGATCGATTGAAAGAATTGTTAAATGCCATATTGATGTTGTACATAGAAGTACATCGAGAAAAATAAATAAATCACAAATTGCAATTGGCAATAGCCATGAACCTAAATATAAAATAAATTAATAGAATAAAATCCTCTCGCTATGATTGACAAGTTTTTTTTTTCTATTATGTCATCTTTGAAATATTTTATTTTCTAAGATTCTTTGACGTAATTTCAAACTATTTCTATTAGATCTCGTGATTTAATTGGATTTATCTCAATGTAAATTTTCCTATTGACCCATCTCATCTATGCAAAATCGATTATTCAAATAACAGAATTTAATCTTAAGTGATCTACTTATTCCCATTTCTAAAACACAATTAATAGAGATCTAATCATATCTATTCCGCTGACGAAATTTAATACGATTTCATATCATGACGTTTTGTTTTTTCTAATAGAATTTCTTACCATGAAAATCTTTGATGATTGAAAGTGGTAAAACAATAAGGCTAACTAAAAAATCAGCAATAGCTAATGAAAAAAGAAACCAATTGGTAACTGTTTGTAATTGTTTATCAAGAGATATTGCTACACATACAAGTGAATTACCAAGTACACCACAAACAGCTAATACTGATAAGCTTAATACAGGCCAGTTTAAGTCATTTTTATTATCTGATATAATTGTAGTTGTTAAATTTGTTGTTGTTGTAGATAGATTTTCATAATGTTCATGATGAAAAAAATCCAATTGAAAATCAATTGAAGTCATTGATTAATGAATTAAAACTAAAGAAGGAAAATATAATAATATACGAATCTATTTGTTTTTGATACAATTTTTTTCTTCCATTCTCAATCATCATCATCTCTACTCTCTTTTTTTGCTCTTTCTGCATCATTCTTTTTTTATGATTACATTAGAACGAGAAAGAAAGAAGCAATAATCGTCTGGTAACATAGATACCATTATCATTTCGATGAACAACAATAGTAAACATGCAAGCATTTGGACATATAAGCAAAGGAAAAAAAACTATTTAGACATAGACGTGAAAAACAATAAGAATGAAGAAAAAACGAGTCGATTGACGATAATATGTTTTGTCAGGCTAGGGCATGATGATTAAAATAAGCTATTATATCAAGGTGGCAAGTGTTCGCACCTATTCTATGGGTTAGATCTTATTATCTTTTTCTTTTTTTTTGTTTCTTCCTTTTCTCATTTATTTATATTATGATCGATAGAAGGACAGACAAATATTTTTTGTTAATTATTACAATACAAAAAAACATATATGAAGGATCAATATCAAAGAAATAGTCACAAGAGTACAGAAAAAAAGACGTAGTTAATAAAAAAGAAATTTTTTTATTTTAAATAATTTATTTTTGAATGCGTGGAAACAAAAGTTAAAAATCATTTAAATTACTTTCACTTGTCAAATATGTATGCATTAAATTATATATTTAACATATATTTTAACAATACGTACATTAAGAAAGCTTTACTTTGCGTACTCAAACAAAAGAGAATGATTAAATATAAATAGACAAATCAATTAATTCTTTTTCGTTATTATAAATAATTTAATGAGAGAAGTCGTTTAATAACATATTTTATTAATTATTTCTTTTCAGAATAAGAAGAGTTTATATAATTACATTATTAATTAAATCATTATGAAAAGAGATTAACTTTATGAATTTTTGCATGTATTCTTTAATGCAGCATAAATTAGAAATAACTCTATATAGGATTTGTATTTATATTTGATACTAATCTTATTTGATGTTATACAAAACAGGAGATTTCAATTTTGACAGCTGTCAAATAGTTAATAGATGAAAGCAAAAATAATCTTTATTGGTTAAGTAATCAAGAAAAAATATTATAAGTATGTGTATCAACTGTTTATTCAGCACTCTTTTTCTATTATATATCAATAACTTAATGATGCTATTGAGATTTCTTTTTTCTCGAAACAATTATTTCAATTTGAACAAAGAACTTTTCATGTAATATATATTACTGAATCTTTTCATATTTAAATTATTATCATATGAAAATCAATATGCATTTTATTACAAATTGACATCGATGAATTTCATAGCAAAAATAGAAAAAAAAAAACACAAAACGCATAAAACAAATACAAATCGTATCTGATCTAATGTAAATATGTGCGAAAAAAAGAAGTGTTTTCACACAAATACATATACATATATAATATATGTATATATATGGCAAAGTAAAATCTAATAGTTATATTTTTTATACCATAACTAACAAGTCGCAATATCATTTGATATATCAATACGATTATCATTTGATTGAGTATATTCAAACATAATTAAACTACGTTCGTTCATTGATTTTCCAACAATAAAATATTCATTTTGATTATTTAGATTATTTAATATTGAATGTACATGTAACGATTGGATTGTACCTTGAACAGATATTGATTCATTAATAACTTCTTTTCGTTTGATATTCCATGTACGTATACGTTGACCATCATTATCAATTGAAAGAATATGTTGATGATCAAACCAAGTTATTGAATGAATCTAAATTAGAATTTTATGACATATATTTAATTAACACTTTTATTAAAAGAAACTTTTTATATCATTTGTTCACCTAGATTCTTATCAAAAAAAATAAAACCATAAATAAATATGTGGTATAATTTTATGACAGAAAGAATCAATCTCTCAATGTCATTAATGAGGTCATTAACAATATATTTTTTGACCTTAGAATTAGGACAAATGACTGAGTTTGCATTATATTTATATAGAGTTTTTACCCGTGTCAGATAGAGATCTAATCGAAAAAAGATGACAATAATGAATAAGATAAATCTTTGTAATTAATAAATTGACTAGACTATGTAAACTTTCAATTTAAATAGGACGATAATGATGAGTCTCATCAATGTTTTTAAGTATCGTGAACACTTTAGATTAATATCATCATTAATGAAAATTGTCGTTTTTTTTGACTATAGAAGCTTCTCATAGTATTAATTTACTTGTGTGAAAATAGTTAAGTATAAATATAGTAATAAAGCAAAAATATTTGTTTACTTTGATTTTAATAAAGTAAATAAACATAATTTCATTCCCCTACTATATCGCTATTCACTAGCAAGAGAATCTCCTGAAGGATCTAAGGAATTTAAGCGGTATCTTTTTTCCAAAAGTAAATTTTAATGAAGGATGAAAAACCGGAAGAGGATTTGGGTCTTTGTGACTTTGTTCACGGATTATAGAATTATTAAGAAAATTTCCCCATAGGACCCAAGATTTACAGCAAAACAATATTACTGACGTTTGGCGTAAGACTTTGCCTATAGCAACCTCTGAAGTAGAATAAACTGTGCACAATATGTCAGGATTTATTAATGTTGCCTTTAAGGGAAATGTATTTTTCAAAATATTCGTCTTTTTTTTTCAATATCTGTGGAAATGGGTCAAGTTTTATCTCTTAAAGGCTACATTAACAAGTCCTGACATTTTGTGCACTATCTATTCTATTTCAGACATTGCTGTGGGCAAAGTTTCAGCTTAGAAGTCATGAAGACCCAAATCCTCTTCCACTCTATCATCGCTCATTGATGTCTACTTATGATTAAAGGATAGGGTTTTAGATTCTTTGAATACTTCGGGATATTTCCTCGTGACTTAAATTATTATGAATTATATAAATATTTACCGATGGATCACAAATAGTTGCAATTAATAAAAATTGTCCAATAGGAACAGTTACATCCCAAATATAAATTAAACCTTGTTCAGCAAATATTAATAAACGATTATCATTCAATTGACAATCATTTATTTGATTTATTTGAGTATCATTAAGTAAATAATTAAAATCATAATTATATAAAATTTCTCCATCATTTAATTGCCAAATAATAATTTCATTTGTACGTAATATAGTTAAGATATATTGATCACCATTATTATTTGAATCAGCAAGTGAAAATGTAAAATTTGCATCACAATTAAATCGTGTTAATATCATTGTACAATTACTCATCGTTCCAGTTACTAATGAAGATTGATCGTCACTTATAATTGTTGTCGTTGTTGTTGTTTCTAATTTAAAAACAACAAAACATGTAAATGTACTTGTATATTCTGTACATGCAACAAGTGCATATAATTCATTGCTTGTTAATATAATTCGTTTAATTTCATCACCAATCGATGTATCAGGATCAGATTTAAGTTCACGTGCAAGACTACATGAATCAATATCAAGTAAACCAAGTGATATACCACGACCATATTTTTGTTTTCCAGCCATATATAAAATGGATGAATTTCGAGATGTAACAGCTATAGAACATTTTATTGGATGTAGATTTGTACGAAGTGAATAATCATTTGTTGACCAAATTTTAACACCATATGGATTGACATTTGATGTTACTTCATAGAAAAGTCCGATAAGAAATTGACCATTATAAGAAAATAAAAGATTATGACAAGCACCAACTGATGATATAGGAAGTTGAGAATAAAAATTACCGGACTAGAATAATAAAGAATTTAAAATTCGTCAATATAACATCTAATCCTAATTTTCTCATAAACACTTCAACTCGAAATGATTAGATCGGTATGGGGACAATTCAGTGAAATGATATTTCTTGGTGAGGATATGGACGAAAAGTGAGGGTGAGGGCGAAAGGTGTTTCGCAATTGTGACTTTCGCGCCAGTGACAGATATAGCTATTCAGCGAACCGGCGACTGCCACCCTCTTGAAAATAAATACTTTGACAAATACTCAATACAGGTAGAACACTATAGATTTCTCTCCTAAAAAATAACACTGCTTTCCACTTTTTTTTATAAATCGCCACCCTTCATGAAAATCCTGGATCCCGCCCCTGTTTTGTGCATTTTTTCGCTGAAAAACCCCGTTCGCAGGTATGATTTTCACTCAACGGACACCATATCATACTGGATACACAAGTGAGTATTAATATATCAAACTATTTAGGTACAACGAATCTTTCTATTATGCATATTATCAAGGGCAAGAAAAAGTGTTTACTTTCGGGAGATCTATATCCAGTCAAAATCGATTATTTATTTCTGAACTTGTTGGAAGTATTATTCACTAATGAAGGTGTTAGTATAATCAATAATTCATGCATAAAGTACCGTTTGTACTTTAGACTCCCTTAATTTAAAAAAAGTAGAATATGATAGTGAATTTTTTTCTCTATTGTCGGCCTTATGTGAATATATGAAGCGTTAATTTAATTTAATTAAAAATTACTTACACGAACATGTACTAATTGAATTCTATTTTCATCTGCAGTAGCAAGAAGACTTATTTCTTGATTATTTGGTTGTATTGCATGACAATCAACAAGATTTTTCATATAAAGAAATAAAATTTGATTTTGAATTACAGTTATATTCGTATGTTTTGAACTTGATCTTCTTTTTGATGATAATCGACGTTGAGAAAAATATTCTTGATCAACATCTAAATTCGATGCTAAATCACATGAATAAACTGCTGAATATGTTTGTGCACTTGAATTATCAATATCTTTTTTTAACGAACGTAATGTTGCTGTATGTGCTGTTGCTGTAGAAGTATGATATTGTGTTAAACTTGATAATGGTATTGATGATGATTCATTACCATTTAACATTAAACGATTTACTTGATGATAAAGTGATGATGATGATGATGGTGGTATAGGTTGTGCTAAACTTGAATATATACAAATATTATCATTTAAAATACTATCAGCTTTTTTATAATATGAATTTCGTTT